TTTTTCCAATGATATCCACAATTTGTTCTAAGCTTTGGATCTCTGAACATATATCATTTTCACCCATCCAATAGGTTATTAATTTCCATTTTATTGCGGTATTATGACCTCAAGTTCATGAATGAGGTTTTCACAAGTGGGTTCTTTCAAATTCTATGAGATTCCATCCCTAAAAAAAAATTGGTGTCGAACACTTTTTAAATTTATAAATATTAATTTATCAATTAAATAATACCTCTACAAAATAATAATATTTCATGATCCCGCCTATATTTATTTAGAGAAGTTTTATTGCAGGTACATGTCTCGCCTACTGCATCCTTTGTAACCTTTTAACTTCTTTTCAACCTGAACTCACAACACAAGTTATTGAAAGAAATAAAATAAACTTTGTTTGCCTCCCAAGAAGTGCCGTATTTAACGTCGTGGCAAGACACAATTTTTACTCTTCAACAATCATTCTTGGGATTGGGGATCGTATCACTAGGCAACATTCCCTTTTGCCTTGGATTTAGATTGGTAGAGAGTTGACAAATTTGAGTCTGGACTGCTTTATTGACACGGAATGAGAAGTAACCGTTTGAATCAAAGTGGAGAAATCATTTTTTCAAATCATTCAACACCTTATTGGACCCTTCAACCTTGTTGAAAATCCTTGTTAGCATCTCATCTGTTAGGTTTACCTCCTACCCATCTTTCTCTTTTGCTTTGGGATGATCATGAGGTGGAATATATTTATCTTTTTCAAACTCACGATCTATTCAATTTCCACCTCGATCTCTCCAATCTCTCCAGCCATTATATTTTTACTTGTTCCAACCTTGATTCCCACCCAGTCTAGGATATTTTGGATGATAAGCACCAATTTGGTTCCCCAAGTATTGCACCTCTTCATTGTATAATGCCTCAAACTTGACATCATCCGGGGATTTGTCACTGCTTATACCAACGGCATTTGCTGACTTAAGTCCACTTCCCATGAAATGTTTAGATAGCAAGTCAACTTGGGTCATCATCTTAGCCATATTCTCATCACGCTCATGATCCTTCTCTATTTGTTCCATGTTCATACTCACATGTAGAGAAGATACTTGATCCTCTCTAGTATGTCATGCTCGGTTGATTTTTATCATGTCATCAAGCAACAATGTTGCTACATCATATAGCTACCTCATCAGCCCACCTTGAACTAGTTGGTCAGCTAGCCCTTTGTTAACAGAATCCAAGCTACAATAGAAGTATTACAGCAGCAAGTTGTCTGGAACACCATGTGTTGGACATTGCAATAATAACTTTTGAAACTGCAACCATGTCTCATGAAGCGGCTCTCCAATCACCCTCTTGAAAATTCGGATGATGTCCCTTAGCTTTATCATCTTCAAGGGAGGGACAAATCTCTCCAGGAACGTGTCGGTCAGCTTTTCCCAGGAAGTGATAGAATCATTAGGTAGCTCGGCTAACCATCTAGTGGCTTCCCCTATTAGGGAGAATGGAAATAGCCTCATCCGAATTGGTTCTTGCGAAATGTTCTTAAAGGTAAATGGCCCACAAACATTCAAAAAATTCCTGAGGTGTTCATGGGATTCTTCATAAGCCAGGCCCCCGAACATTCCTCGCATTTGAAGTAATTGGAACATTGTTCCGGTCACATGGAACACTGCCCTCCCGATGGTAGGATGCTACCGGATTGCTCACATGCTTTGAACAATGCTCACATGCATATCATTCATATCGCCCATGTGATCATTTTGCCCGAAGTGACTAGCGTCGTCACTTTCATCGTCACTCATAGTTCCATCTGCAATTAAGACAAATAACAACACCAAACAACAATCTACTACAACTAAATAAGTTTACAAACTAAATCACAAATTGAATTCTTAGCCATCATTCCCCGTCAATTGCGCCATTTTTTATAATGCTCAAGATACCCTCAAAACAAGTAAGAGAATAAGCGATCGTTAGCAATAAAAACCCAACAAAAGAGTCGGGTCCAAATCCCATAAGGAGTGATATAATGCAAGGAATTCAATTAAGAAATTTAGAGTGTGAACCAATTCGTTTGTAGCAATTAAAATATATGGATGGATGATTCCACCAAATTTACGAAAAAAGTTTTGGTATCAAGTAATACAATTAAACTAAAAGATGGATTTCAATTAAGTAAAAGACGATATAGGGGTGTGGGGATTGGTATCGGTTTCAAGTAGGGGTAATTGTTCTTGCTCATTATCACTAAACAATCATGGATAGGCTGGGTAATCTTAAATAACATTAATCTTCTTTCTATCTCAAGGATTGTTTCATAGAATCTCTTTTCGGTCTCATCTATGTGCATCACAAATCAACCCAATGCCTTACTAGAATCTCTCTTTCGAGTAGATCTAGGCAACTAGAATTGAACCACAATTTCTTTTGCAAGCAAACTATAGTAAACAAATCTGAATTTGCAGGCATTAAACTAATTACCCACATCAATTAATCTCTTTCAAGCATCAATCGAGGATCTAGGCTAGGATTAAGTTTGCAACCTTAAGCCGTGAATTAACCCCATGCTAATTAGCTTAAATCCATGAATCTACAGCAATAAAACATAGCAAGACACAAAACCCATTACAATAAATTAACACTCAACCCCATAATCACACCCCTGGATTTGGGGTTCTATCCAAGCATCAAAAAGGAGAAAAAAGAGTATACACATGATGAATTCAGCCATTGGGAAATTGAAATTTAGCGTCATTCTTCAAAACATCACTTCAATTTGAACCTCCAATTGTCAATTACAAGGTTAATGGAAAACCCCAAGAACTAAGAATATTTTCAAAAGGTAGAAAGACTAAAAACTCCTAAAACAAACTCTCAAGCTGATATTCAAAAAGTGATTCCAAAAAGTGATTTTTAGAAGTGATACATTTTCTCTCTCTTTAGACCTATTTATAGTTTTCCAAATTTTGGCCCAAAATCCACTGCGTGACCAACTCGGTGACATTAGTCGGGATCGCAATCAAGTTTGGTGGATCGTCATTTCTCCTTTAGCTCGCCCTTCATTTGCTTCAGGCTTCAGGTGTTTAAATCTCAGTTGGCGGACTTGATTTAGTCTACCTTTCACATTCGGTGGATCGCTGATTACCAGCTTGTTTGCCTTTTAAGCCTTCATTTTAACTGAGAGATCTGTCAACTTTGGAGATGGTCTTCTAGTTTGCCAATTCAGCTTCAGTGAGTCGTAGTTTAATCTTTCAGTCTGCCGACCTACCTTGAATATTTTCAATTGTGAGCATTGTCAGTTCAAGCAAGGTAAGGCCACTTGGGCGATCCGCCTAGACGACTCCTAGTTGGGAGTTTGCACTCCTTTCATGCTTTTTCCCTCTTTTTCATGTATTCATCCTTGCCTTGTCTTTTAGCCTTCATAGCTAAACATTGGAATATGACATAATTAGGCATTGAAGACACTAATTGTTGAACTAAAAAGGTCTCAAAAGAGTGAAAATCTATCACTCACCAAAAAATTATCTGAGAAGACGAATTGTTTTATGGTGGAGGAAGGTGAAAAGGAGATGGATCTACAATTAGGTTATGGTTGTGTCGAGACTGAATTCATGATGTCATCCAATTTTTGTCCTTAGGACTGTGTATTTGGACCCTTGTATTCTCCTCTCCTTTTTTTCCCTCTAATATCCCAAAGCTCTATTTTTGCTCTCAAATTTATATGTAATATTCCTATCGAATTTTTGATAATTTTAATTTATGAGATATAGTGTATACATTAATGATTGGGGTATGTTGTATCTATCTTCAACGGCGAATGACTTTATGTTATATATATGTGTGTGTGTGTGTGTATTCTTCTTAATTTTTGTATGTATCTTCACCATATTTCATCAAATGAGAGAAAATAAAGTTTATTGAGCAAGTGCATATACCTATCGTGACTTTATTTGTTGATACAACTAAATTAAGTGAATATATATAACCTATACAAGTTGGTAACAATCGAATGGTAGCTACGAATAAATATAAGTAAAATTACAGCAAACAAATACAAGTGATACAAGCTTTTAACAATTAATACAATAGAGCAAATGACTTCATATGAAATTAGAGAGCATGAATATAAGTGATACAAGTTGTTAACAATTGATATAGCAAAGTGAATGAATATAAGTGAAACTAGAATGAATGTAGTTCCTGGTATATTGTTGTTTGTGTCATTGTATACACCATGATACAGGTATTATTTATTGCGCGCATGAATATAATTGATACAGGCTATATTTCTTGCACAAACAAACAGTCGACACAGATAGTAATATTTGCGCAAACGAATAAACTGAATATACGAGCTTGGCAACCAAATTATGCTGCAAATGGTAATTACTAAAACTGTAGTTGCATTTGATAATTAGCAACGTATATGATATTGCTCCTATTATGATAGAAATATGGAAGTGCTAATAAGCTGAACAACTTACTAAAGCTCTAGAGAGTTTTCCTTCGAAGATCACCGAGAAAGAAGAGATGCGTTATCTAATGATTATCATGTATAATATTAGTCAAATTAAGGATCATATGACTTGCAATCAAGATAGTATTAATAGTGTTAAATCATATTAATTGTTTGATGTGATGAAGTGCATGTATGGTAATTGTGTCTGGGACATTGTTGTGTCCAACCTGAAGATAAAACATCCGGAGATATTGATTGATATTAAGGCCTAATTGATGGTAAAAGATTTTATCCAGAAAAAAAAGGAATAGATTATAGACCTTTTCACCGTTGGCCATTAAAAATGCCTTCAAAATCATCACAACACTGGTGACTCATTTTGACCTCGAGCTTCACCAGATGAATGTTAAGACCATTTTTCTCTATGGAGAACTGTCCACCTTGAGGTTTCAATGAATAATATAATTAATGGACTGAAGCAAGCTTTTCTCAGTGGTATCTCAAGTTATGAGATACGTTTGGTTTCGTGGAGGATAAGTTTGATGAATGCATTTAATGGACACCATATAGATTGTCTCTTCATGCATATGTAATTCTCTTCGGCTTAACTTAAATGGGAACTATTGATGTTCTGCTGTTACATTACTTGTTTAACGCACACCGATCCATTTCAGAGAGTGTTCTTGAAACCTGAGTGAGCTCCTAACCACTTTATCATTCCTCGTCTGTCAATGGATTCTCCACCTCACTCTCGCTACTTGAATCATCACTATCTGCAATTGAGGACTGGCCGTTTGAACCAGAACTTTCACGAAGGCTATACTTGAGGAACTTCACCCTGCTTTTGTGTTCTGAATCTTTTCCTTTGCGCTTTCTTCTTTCAGGTTCTGCTGATTCCATTGTATGGGCAGCAGATACAAAGGCAGCACTAGCAGATTCATTCATCTTAACATCACCTTCTTCCTCATCTTCTTCTCCTTTGTTATCTATGTAGAACAGAATATCATTCTCCGATTTTTTCTTGCCATCTTTCAAAGCAGGTTGTTCAAAGCCCTCCGTCATACTATCGAGCAACAATTTAGCTCGGATTTTTGACATGTTATTGTCAAAGATTCTTATCCCACCATTTTCAATGTTAAGAAACCACCCTGTAATATTCAAGTCAATAGCAATTCTGATGCATGTTTACCAGTATAGTATAAACGGCCAACCTAACTTGGTAGTTAGTGCAGAACTGTGTGATAAAGAGGTATTTCAATTTACTTACTCAAGAATGTAGCAGGGGATGAACTACTTGGTTCACTCGCTTTGTCTTCTGTACCAATCTTACTTCTGATCCACTTGATTATCAGAGGAGGTAAACTAGAACCAGAAAAGGCATTTGTGTAAGAAATTGCTTTCGTCTGGTCCTTCTGTTTTCTGAAGACAAAGAAACAGAATCAAATTTCAGCATCTCAAAAAGAACTTAGAGCATGATGCCCGAGCTTTCATACCTATTCAACTCTACAGCTACACCAGTAACTAACAGTCTTGCCATGATAATACTTTTCACATGCTTGGCAGAGAGCTGATCCATTTGCTCAGGCTTTAAGAAAGAATATTCCACCAGTACCACAGCATCATAGAGAATTTTTCTTAAGCACCTCTCATCGTCCGAATTCTGCAGCAGAATAGGAGGTGAAAATATGAGAATCCTCAAACTATAACAAAAGCATAATTAAGAGAACTTCTACTTGAAGCCTATTGACACACTAGAGTCATCAAATGAGCAATGTAAAACCATTTAGTAAATTCAGAACATTATTCTACAAAGTATTTTCTGCCAAAAGAAACTAAAAACAATCCAGAGAATTCTTCCCCAAAAAGCTAGGATATTAAGCAGAAAAAGTAACTAACTATGAGAGGGTTCAAAAGACTCAAAGACAGTGGGGCCCAGCAGACAAGTTAGTTAAAAGGGAGATTTAGTTGTGTAGTCCATTATAAAGTTACTTTTAGTTATTTCTCTTCTCCTACGAGAGATCAGCAAAAAATAACACGAGAAATGTAAAAATAACACGAGATCTTTGTATGGTCATTTCCTTTTAGTCAAATTGTGTGTGGGTATAGGAGATCATTTCCTCAAGTTAAAACTCTGGCCACATTATTCAAACCTCACAAGATGCTTTGCGCATTATTAGCTCTTACAATTTGAGTAAAGCTAAAGAACAGTGGTGAAGTGAGCTCAAACTGTGACCAAGGCCACATGTTCGAACCTCTCGAAAAACTGTTTTGCACAGGTTTTAACTCATTGTTTATCAAAAAAAGAAAGAGAGTAAAGGACTCAAAGACAGTGGGGCTAAGATGTCTAACCAGTAGGGAGGCTGTTGGTAAAGATGGCTCCAGCAGCATCATTAAAAGGGTCTCTGAATTCAACAAAGGAGAACTTAGTATAGTTTGAAAATCACAAAATTATAGAGAAAAATGCAATACAGAGATGTCAAACAGGTAAGAAAACAGAATTCATGGGCTATGGAAGAGTAAAACCAACATAAGGAATTAAATTCAGAGACGAATGGAACAACAAATTCAACAATCAACGTGAATGGATCAAGAGCAACTCTATATATATTTCCTCTCCATCTTATACATTGTATTATGCTTAAGGGATCAATAGAATATGGTAAATCTTTATTCCTCTTTGTTATGGAAGTATTAAGCAGGCTAGTAACAGGAAGTTCCATTGGGGGTTTCAAGTAGCAGATGAAGAGAGGTAGAACAGCCACTCTCATCTGATGATACTTTATTACTCCGTGGAAATATGATTTGATTATTTGAGGTTATGTCAAAACTATGTATCATCGTTCAGAAGTATGAGGATACTAGTAAAGAAAGTTCTGAAGATTTATACTTCTTCATGGATTTGTGGATTACAGTGGCAACAATTATCCAATATCCGTAACATTCTCAGGGCTCCACTAGGGAAAATCTTAAAGTTGAATGATTTCTGGCAGCCAGAAGTTAACAAAGTTGTGAAAAGGTTGACCGGATAAAAAGACAATATTAATTTAAGAATAACAGTACCTTATCAAGAACTCTTCGAAGGAAAATAGCATTGCTCAAATCTACATTATTAATATATACCCATGTAGTGCCTCCACTCCAATTTATGTGGCATAGTTTGACTTTTTTTTTTTTGATGACAAGGGAAACCCGCAGCCGCTACCCTTTGGGTGCGCACAGGGTAAAATCCCAGCTCTTATGCAATAGCTCGCAAACCACATAGGAGAGGTAACCCGCATAGGTGGCATAGTTTGACTTGGTACGCCTTTAACAAAGAAAGGAAGAATTTCAAAATGTGTGGTCTTTAACATACCATAACATTTGTGTGGTTATGAGAATTTCTTTGTTCATATATTTGTCATTCATCCTTATAAATTATTAGTCTAGGACTAAACATACATATTTGTATTTTGTCTCCCTTTGCCTTTTCTCATTAAAGCCCACGCTTTATTTGCGCTTAAAGCCCCAACAAAAGTTATACTCTCTCTCTCTCTGTCCCAATTTATGACTCATTTTCCTTTTTACTCGGTCTAAAAAGAATGACACACATCTATATTTAGTAATAATTTAACTTTAAAATATCCATTTTACCCTTAATGAAACTATTTACAGCCACACAAACATCTATCACTTATTTTAGACCACAAATTTCAAGAGTCTTTCTTTCTTAAACTTCGTGTCAAGTCAAACTAATTCGTATAAAATAGGATGGAGGGAGTACCTTTTTTGCACTTAAATCCCCAACAGACCTTAGGACTTTTTTGCACATTTTTCTTTTGATAGCACTGGTTACGAGACTTCTGAAACTTATGGTCTTAAATGTGTTGTAACGGTTGTGTGGCCGTAAACATTTCTCATTAGGTATAAAATGACAATCAAAGTTAAATTGTTTCCAATTATAGAAATATGTCATTCTTTTTTTATGCATATCAGTGGTGTCCACACCAACTTGCATGCGCCTCGATGTATTCCATGCAATACATGTTCCCAGCGGCACAGGTACCAAGCAACTCTATCCACCAAGATTTGGGGAAAAAATGTCTTCCTTTTTGGAATTAACAAACAAGGAAAGAATGTCTTACCAAAAAAAAAATCCCACCTTCATAAAACCAACGTTTTAATTATGTTTTGAGCTTAAAGACCCAATAAATCTTGGTGCCCATCCACATTTCCGCTCTAACAACAATACGATGGTATGAAGTTAACAAGTACTATAAAAAAAGAGATAAATATGAGATTTCCATAAAGACGAAGGATATTAGATACTCTACTTTCGCAGCCATGCAACAAAGTGAATCAAATACCATAAAAGAGAGGCTAGATTAATATGACCTATTTTTGCACCGATGCAAAGCATCAGGGTGAAAGAGAGGATCCACAAGAGCAAAGGAACAGAGTTTGTGAAAAAGGATGTAATGACTTATTCTTTAAGCTAATGTAGCTGAAAAATGTGCTTAGAAATGGCATAAGATGAAGTGGAGAAAGGGTTTCACAAAGAACAATGATAATCCCACACCACTCATCAAGAAGATCAGCAATTTAGCCACCAACGCAAAACAAAAGAAGAAGAAAATCAAATGACATAAGATGAAGAGAAGAAAAGGTCTCACAAAGAAATCCCACACCACTTATCAAGAACTTCAGCAACTTAGCCACCATACAAAAACAAAAGAAGAAGAAACGTTCCTGGGTGATTGTTCATAACTTTCCAAGAAAAAGTCACGGCATCATAAGCAAAAAGTTCATATTGGACATAATGCATGATCAAGCTATTCTAATATTATATCCTTACAAGAAAAGGTATTTTATGCGTTTTCCCCATCACATAGGCACGATAGCATAACGATCCAAAATGTAAAATTATTTTTCTTTTTTACAATGACCACTACACTCATCTTTATGATCATCAATTGGCACCACCAAAGCCATCAGAAATATAACTCCCAAACAATTCTAAAGCAATGAACTCACAGATCCAAGGATGACAGCACTTAATAAGAACAGTAACACATAGAAAAGAGTGTTCATACAAAGGAGTATCTGCATTAATAGAAATTATATAACACGTTCCTAATTTCTCAGAGGTTAAATGCACAGTCACTTCACGGAGATTTTGTGCTTTGAACTGTCCAAAGAGGTAAATTTGCCTGTTATTTAACTCACTAGCATCACAATTGCTGGTTTTGAGAAGATTGGGTATAATTTGTCACTCAAAATTCAATGAGCCCTTTACCAAAAATTTCGAAGTTTGAACAAAAATGAGGAGAAAAATAAATTATACAGAGTGTAGTCTGTGATTCGGAAGGTGTACCGCACATGAGATTGAAAAGTCAAACACTTTACAGATTGTGCAAACTTCAATAGAAAATCAATTTCAATCATAGACACTAACCAAAGAAGTATGGATTCTGAAGCCCAGTGATGGAAGCAATGATCCATGCCCTCAATTCGTCCTGTAATTCTTTTCGGGAACCATCCTCCAGAAACCTCAAGCATAACTTCAACAAAAATGCCTCCGCAATCACACAACCAGCCAATGCACTTAGCTCACACCCTTCAGCATTAACCCCTTCAACAATCTCATCAGTCAGAAGTGGAAAAAAAGCTCGCATGCATCCCTTATCCCCAGTATCTTCCACCGTATTATCCCACATCCAAACAGTCAATAACTCCCTCACTGGCCTAAGGAAGCCCTTTGAAACATCACATCTATCCTCTACACCCTCACAGCATACATTAACATACCCAAGAATTGAATCAACCAATCCATTTACCTCTCTCACAAACTTCTTCGCTTTCTTAGCTTTCTGCTCAAAACCTTTTAAACCCATTACCAACCTAAACACATTATACATAACAGGTGCAATTAATGCAATGCTTTTAAAGAAATCACATGAAACAGAGCAAGAAACTATAAGCTGAAACAAATCCTTTACGGCTGCAAGCCTTTTGAAAAGGTCATTTTCTGTCGAGCTGAAGCCTCGATAACGTAAAGCTGAGTAAACCCAGATAGCTTCAAAAGGCGGGTCGACGCTACGTTGTAGTAATTCCTCGAAATTTGACCTCAAAGATGACAGCTTCTTAGAGCCTGGTGCGTCCAATACAGCTTGAATTAGATTTTTCAGTACAACTTCATGGTTTTGACCAACAACATTAATGGAAACCATAACTTGGCGAAAAAAAAATTGACCGAACGAAAAGCTAAAACCCTAATTAAGTCAAGAACACAAAGGGATAATAGGGTTTTAGGAGAATGGGAAATTTTACTATGCATCGGCAGTGTAGCTCCTTAATGTGGACCAGCGGTATGTTTCTGTCCTATTGGTTGAAACAGTGGGGGCCACGGACATGGTGGATAGCTACAGCCAATAGAAATCAAGTAGACACGTAGGGCAACGACGTCGTATTGCGAGGTTTCTCCTTAAATCTTAAATAGAAATCTCTTCAGTTGGTATTTGAATACAAGCAAAATTTGAGAAATTTTTGTTGACTGAAAGAAGTAATGGGGAAATTTGATAAGATTGCATTGTTGTTGTCTTTGATAGTGATAACAATATGGTTTCCAATTGTTGTTGAATGCGCAAAGAAAGCAGTAGGAGTGGCGAGAAAAGAAGACATTCCGTATATAAGATGTCAGGTGTGTGAAAAGCTGGCGTATCAGCTATACCATCATGTTCAGAACAAACAAGCTGAGATCTCTCCAAAGAAGGTAACTTTCTCATTTGGGGTTCTTTTTTTTCAGCTCAACTTATGTATAGTGGAAGTTCAATCGATCATAACTAGAATACCGATTGGATGTGTAGGTTTCCTAATGGTTTTTTATTTGATCATACATGTTGGAAAAATAAAGTAGCTCATAATAATGACACTGAGATTTTTATGTGATAAATACTTCTAAATAAGTAAAATAATCACGGGCCGAGAGGGGTAAAGTAATCCACTATAATTCTTGGAGTTTGTTTTTACTTCACTTAATTCTTCTGTTTGTCTGATGCAATGGATATGGTTTGATGATGTCAGATCTCAGAGTATCAGATAATAGAGATTTCAGAGAATGTATGCAATTTAAAGAAGCAGGAAGCTGATTGGATTCTTAAAATTGACATAGTTGAACAAGGTGATAGGTTGGAGGTAAGAATTCTGCAAGTCTCTTCTTTCTTTGCTTATATAATGGCTTAGTCAATCCTTGTAACTTCTTTTTGGTGAATTGGGTTGGTTCGTTTACGGTGGCGGGCCCAAGATATTTAGTCATTGGTGCTTAACTGTGTTAAATCTCAAAGTGCTACTTTGTGATTGGGTGCGCGGCCACTATATTTATATGTTATAAGTAGTTTCTTGATATAAAAATGTAATGTTTTGGTAAAACAATAAGGGTGCTTGAGCACCCAGTAGCTACAATGAAGGTCCACCGTTGTTGGTGTACAATCAATGTAGCTTCTACTAATTGAGCTGCTGGCAAGATAAACACATCTATGCTTCATTCATTGTCGGCAATTGACAACTCTGTCGCTAAACACTGTATTTTCTATGCTATTACTTACACAGTGTAGCTTTTAATTTGAAAGAATTATTGAAGTTTTGATAGTGGGCATCAAGTCCATCATTTTATATATTTCTGAGAGGATTCTTATTTGACATTGCCAATGTTCAGCTGATTGAACAAGACTCTGAAGGACAATGTAATTCAGAATGCAAAACAATAGAGCGTGCTTGTCAAGATGTAAGTTCTCCTACTTATTCTGTGCATTTGATGTTAGCAGTGATGCAAACAAATACTGGTTATATTAATGCTAAAGGAGTTGTAAGTTTATAATGGCATGATGCTTGCTTACATTGAGCTTCGGAAGTGTTTTTTAACTTGTTTCCAAATAAAAAGCTCATCTCCTTCCCAATTTCCTCTCATTGTGCAATTATGATTTGATCATGTTTATAATGATATCCATACTTTTTGGCTTCCTACGTTAAAAGATTGACTGCACTTTGCTTGTTGCTCTTGAATTTTTTTTCTTTTTGCTTCAGTATAACTTGTCTTGTAAACAGGCTCTATATGTTGCTGTCTTTTGTAAGACAAACAAACTATTTCTTGCAGCAATGATCTTTCTTCATATTTTGCAGGTGATGGACTATTTTGATACAGATGTGGCAGAATATTTATATAAAACCAAACCAGATCTTGATTCCTTGAAAAGTTTCCTTTGCAAGGATTTGACCAAAGTTTGTAGCAAGGCACCACCTCCAGTTCCTAAGGTAATGTCAAGCTTTATGACATTAACCAGTAAATTCATCCAATATCCGAATTTCTATGCTTTTCTTCTCCTTCTTCGTGCCTTGTGGCCCCAATGTTATCTGGTTTTGTAAACAATATAGCATAGTCCTTAGTCTTTAGCTTTATCGGTAAAAATAGTGCTTGTTCTTTAGACATGAAAGATAGACCACATCCAAAAATGTTTCCATCTTTTGTTGTAAGAGCGAGCTTTGCTTGTGTACATACTGTTTCAAAATATTTGTTTGTTGGATAGACAGAAATATGTGATGACAAATTATACATGTAATATATTGCTTCCTTTTTTTTGCGTGTGGGGAGGGAACGAAATTGGTTGCCAGTTCTGAGAGACTACATCTCAAGAATAAATTGATCGAGTATTAACTAACTAAACAATGAAAATAAGCATGGTCATAGATAGAGTCGTCAATATGGAGCTTGCCCGGTTGGGCTAGCCCAACCAATGATTTAATAGGGTTGGGCTGAGAATTTTGGATCCCATCTAAAAATGAGGCCTTTTAGTCTGGCCCATGAGGCTTGAGCGATGAGCCATCAGACTTGTTCTTCTGACAAGGATCACACTTCTGAACAATCTCCTTCACATCAGTTCTAATGTGTTTCCAATAGAACAGTGTGAGTAACCTTTCCAAAGTAGCTTGCACCCCAGAATGGCCACCTTGAGGGGAAGAGTGCTATAGAGCCATGATCTCCTTCCTTAACTGTTGAAACCTTGCCTACAAACAGTCTTCCCTATCATAGACTGATAAGGGCATAAGGCTTCATGTCTAGATGAATGAGACTTGCTAATAAAGGCAATGAGGTGTCCTTCCTGCATGAGTACAGCTTACTAAGGGAAGAATTGGCAACTTCTGGAGGAAATCACAGGGACAAATCCCTTGTAGTGCAACCTGAAAGAGATGAATTACCAAATGTAAGGAGGCAGTTTGGTGAAAGGTCTCAAACGAGAAGAGTGCAAGCAGTTTCAGTTCTTTGATATGGACAACAATCCCCTACATAATGGCCATTACTAAAAATTGAAAGCATTGAATAACTAGTACTTAATAAGTACTATTAAGACAATTTGATTCTAGTTTTGAGACTTGGTTAGCAACACTATGTAATATTGTATCGTAAATATTTACGTTCCCATTTTTAGGTTAAATTTATTTTAAAAATTATGAAAATTATATTGTTTGCTAAGGTGGGCCGGCCTAGCATAGCCTTTTGGCCACGTGAGGCTGAACTAGGCTAGCCATTTTTAAGGCCCATCAAAGTGCCCATAAGGGCTGGGCTAGGCTGGGCCAGCCCATATTGACATATGACATAGTCAGGGCGATATGGCAAGGTGCTAATTTAATGGACGAAAACCTTTGGAATTGCTGAGCTAGAGGCATACATTAATTTTTATGAGAAGTTATGTTACAGATCCTATCACTTGGAAACAAGAAGCCATCTGAAATCTGCTTTTGTGCCTTGCAACCCTTAATGACGTTTTCTCCCCATGAAGAATGCATCTCACTGATTCATAATTATTTGAATGGACACTGTTTATTCTTCTAAGCATAGCATAGCATGTTCTGTGATAAATCCTTGACTATCTAGGTGCTACATGTTGATTTAGCAGTTAAATAAAGCAATGAGATTAGCTTTCCCATTCATAGTTTGGTGATTCTTTCTTCTTTTGCTTCAGAATAGAGTCCCAGGAGAACCTTTTGTTGCTAAGTCCTCAAAAGAGGCTGAAATGGAAAAGCTAATGCGATCCATGCAGGTAATTCTGTTTATCACGAGAGTCAACTGCATGATTTCTTTCTATATTAGGCCTGTTATTGAAAATTAGAAATTTACAACATTTTGCTTCAGGGTATGCCTGGAGCCCCAGGTATGCAAATGTATTCTAGGGAAGATTTAATGAACCAAAAGTTTGGTGATGAAGATGCTGATGATGACGACGATGATGATGAAGGAGGCTTCCCGTCAAAACTGGTACAAACGAGTAGTCTCTTTTCCCGTTAAACCAATCAAAAGTGCTCAACTAATATGGAAATTATCTGCAGGGGAAGGTTATTATAGAAAAAGAAAGTAAGAAGAATGATTGGAAGCAACGGATCACAAAAGGAATTCAGGATACAAGTGAAACTCTGAAGAATCACGCTAACAGAGTATCCCACAGGATGAGAAAGTGGTGGGGAACGAAGAAAGCACAATGGAAGAAGAGTTCCAAAACCGGTAAGGGAGAGCTATAATGACTGCGAAATCCCTTTCTCCTCCTTTTCTTTTCTCCCATTAAAATGTAGTCTTATGGAGAGACTGAAAATATGTAATTCTCATCTTACCCACGAGATTTTTGTTTCTCTGCTACCATCTTGGGTCTTGATACTTTCGATGAGTCTTCTAATCTTGTTAGAGATTTATATACTAGTAAAACTGTAGAGAACTTCTAGTACTTTGTTGTTTTTATAATGAAATCTACATTATATACCACATACAAGAACTTAGCATGTGTTTGGCCATAGATTCTAAGTATTTTTTTAGTTCATTTAGAATTTATGGAGTTGGAGTTGTGTTTGGTTATACTTTTTGCAAAAAAATATTTGAAATAATCGTTGTGCTTGAATGTACAATACAACTTCAACTAGATTTTACACAAATTTCATAGTTAATTACATCATATTCCTATTCTTTTTCAAATTACACAAATCCCTTAATTTTGGTGGAATTTGGATACATCCCAAAACGTTCTGATACATCGCATTTCGGTTTCGAATACATAACATCTTAATACATCATGTCTCGATTTCAGATACATCACTCAATGTCTCGATACATCATGTACGTCCTGATACATCATGTAAAGTAATGTATCCGACCGATAATTGCATAAACTGATGTATTCAACCTATACATCGTGTAAAGAGATGTATCCGACAAATACATTGCGTAAAGCAACATCCAATACATCATGTACGTCTCAATACATCGCATGAATTGATGTATCCTACCAATACATTGCGTAAAGTGATGTATCCGCATGATACATCATGTCTCGACTTTAGATACATCACTCAATGTCTAGATACATCATGTCCTGACATCATGTAAAGTGATGTATCCAACAGATAATTGTGTAAACTGACGTATCCAACCTACACATAAAGAGATGTATCCAACAAATACATTGCATAAAGTAACATCCAACAATACATCACATATATCCTGATACATCACACAAATTGATATATATCCTACCAATATATCGCATAAAGTGATTTATCCACCTAATACATAGCAAGCATAAAGTAGGAATTTTTGTAATTTTATTAAATGATATGAAATTTTAGAAAATATAATAAAATAAATAGTTTATTTAGGTAATTACCCTAAACCAAGAACTGAACCAACAAAGTTTTTAAAAAAATATCGCTATGAACTGAAAGCAAGGATCCAAAATCAAACCCAATTAATTCAGTCCAGTTACGCATCCTTTTTCCATAAAATTGTCCTTTAAGGCCTCACATACAAAATGCAGCCAAAATAAACTTGGTTGTGTAACAGACAGCAAATAGAAAGGAAAATAACCCACAGCTGGGTAGGACAAACAATCAGCAGAAATAATAGGCATAAATACGCATTTGCCCTTTGGAAAGAGTAAGCTGGGTTGTAAATGATCAGCTCTGAATATAAGATATGCAACACCGTTCTGCTTTACGTCAAAGTGGGACAAGCAGAAAAATGTATGCTTTCCAACACGAGCATCATCGCATCCGATAACACTGAGTTCTTGAAACAGAACAACGCTGACCATTTACTGAATACTTGAGCATTATATCAAGATCTCGAGGATTCTTCTTGTTAGACGCCACAGTCATACTCCCAACTACTGCTTCCCCTTGGCATACAGTAAGCACATCTTCCAGGTAGAGAACCGTTTGCTTCCAGTGTGTACCCCGAGACCTTGGTCCTGCATATTTACTCTCATGGTCAGCAATAGCTTATACCATATTTCCCCCTTTTCCTCAACTTTTTATTTTATTCAGACGGGGTAGTTGACTGGACTTTAAGTGAGTTAATAAGTTTTCTATCTCCGGTTTCAAGAGGAGATATACATGTGTCCATGATATTCATACAAAACTATATAAATGTATCTTCAAATGAAATAATTAGAACGTACTCCCTAGTCCATACTAAGTGAATTGTTGGGGCATGACACACCCCTTGAGAATAATATTTAAGGACATAAATTAAAGACTACTTTCCACTATTACCCTTCTGATTACTCCCAAATTATTTTCTTAGAAAATGTTAAGTAGTTAAGAACCTCATTAAATGAAAGGTAAACATGGGAAAAAAAGTCTCAACAACTTTCTTGAACTTTGAACAATTCACTTATTTTGGACTATGAACAAAGTCGCAAAAATTCACTTCTATGAACCTGAGGAAGTCAGGGAGCTGCACAGGTGGTCCATTGGTGTCACCTTAATCCCCTCCCTCCTGCCCTTGCCCAACAAACCTCTCTCCCTCCCAACCCAACACAAACAACATGAAACAAAAACAAAAGATAATTGCACAAAAGTTCAACAAAAGCCAACACAAATAATAAACCTGTGGAGAAGCCTGTCAATTTGTGACACTTCGTGAAAGAGACATCAAAGTAAGCTACAAGGGCATGGATGTAATCGTCACGTTCTGCGACTAGCTTAAACGGAACTGTGAAGGAAGCATCACCAGAAGCCATCTTAGAGATATCCATTGTCTGTAACAACAAGGACCCCGTTGTAAGTGAAGTATAAAAGAAACTCCACAGCACAATTTCGGGCTACTCAATATAGCACCTTTGAAGACACATTTTTTTGAAATGGAGTTTGAAGACAACCATATTTGATCCAATTACCTTGAGTAACTGGCAATTTGTAACAATCTGCTTCTGATCTACATTATCAACAAGTGGTTCCATTATAGTTTGCTTCCGTAAGCAGCTCATATCAAAACCATACACACTATTCCAAACTGCAATAGCATGTAAAAAAGATTGGAATCAGGGTGACAAATTTAGCCCAATAATGAAGAGGACTGGTGCAACTGAAAAAGTCCATGGGAAAGTGCATATTAAATGCAGAAGTCAATATCCATCAAGTAGAAGATGTGAAAAAGATCAATCTCACATTCGATTTTCTCATCCTTGTAGTCAGCATCTTCAATTGCTGTTAAACACAAAGAAGCTTTATCTGGCAGCACAAGACCATCTTTTACCTGTACAGGCGGGAGAAAGGGTATATAATTTTAAAAAAAAAGGCCTTTTTTAGTTGAGCTCGCCAACCAAAGAGTCACCCAAGAAAATTGAAGCAAATAGGAGAACGCCAGAAAGTTGGTTTGGAAATTAAATCAGCCAACCTGGGGAGCTCTACTTAAAGCAATAATGAGAAAAGGTTCATTCGAAGAGGATAAAGCACATTATCCAGTCACTAATTTCCAGTGACCCCAGGTCTTCAACATAATACAACCCAGCCAAAAACTAGGGGGTACTAAAATTCTCATTGTCTTAAGAAAAAGCAAATTTTCCAATTTTGAATTACAGGTACCCATTTTCATTATCTTAAGAAGCCAAAACAAACAGTTTTTCAATCATTACGTGGGTAAAACAATTAGTCCACTTACACTACAACTTTCTTTTCAATTCTCGGACATCAATGGAGGAAATAAATTGTCATACAAGCACTCTAATAATCTTATCTGCATACAAACACCTTGAACTCAGCACAACCAAGAACAAAAACATTTTTTCTTGAATAAAATGTGCACCTTAAAGATAATTCCTTTTTTGGTGGCTGTGGGAGTTCATCTTGGTATTGGGTGGAAGGGAGAAGGATCAGCATGAAGATGTTGATCAATGCAGGAAGTGTGATGATGGCTGAAATATGTTTGTCTGGTGGGGATGTCATGTCGGGCAAAGTCTAGATTAGCACTCAATGGTAGAATGCAACCCACGCCTTTTTTCTTTGAACCCGTTGGCAAGCTCAATCAATAAGCTTGGTCTAATTAATATAGAAGAGGTTGCGCATGTCACAGTGTCATGGCTTGGAAAAGGACAAGGGCCCTCTTCGTTATTCCCCACTTATATTTCATCGCTATCAACACTTCTTCCTGCTCATACCTTTTACTTTTCCATCATTTCCATTCTCCCTTAAAAAGGCATCATCAGCTGCATGTGTCCAGGTTCCCATACAGTATGTCAAAAGCCTTTTATTTGCACTAAATATTCCATTAACTAGAAGTATTTTTTTTACTACATTATATATAACCATAATAACTCAAGAAAGAGCTACTTATGTAAGTGATGCCAGCCAAAAGCCAAGGAGATGAATTTGAAGATAGGCATCTTATTAATAACTCTGGTTGTAATTAGCTCATGGCATTTACTGTAATAAGGCACACAAAGGATTACAAATTCCATGGGGAAATTCTATTATGGTTAAAATAATAAATACATGTAAAAAGTATCTACATAAAACATAAAATCGTATCAGAAGAGAGCCTAAATTTCAAGAACAGAATGTTGCATTGAGCAAATGCAACAAGTACTAAACAATCACGAGTAGAAGCAACTTTTTGAAGTTCACAACTAAAAGCAGCTTACCAGCCATTTGTCACGAGCATACAAGACTGTATCTAACATGTTCTCATAAAGAAGAAAGTATCCCATCCACTCAGAAATAATTATATCCACTTTTGGAACCGGAAGGTCAATCTCTTCTACCTTTCCCTTGATAACAGTTATAACTGAGAAAGCAAACAGACTCAGTAAACTAGATAGTACAAAAGCACACAGAAAATGTGTCACAAGGTTCATGACTTGGTGATAAAATCAGCTCACCGTCTGAGAACCCATTGAGTTTTACAATTTCTTGGGCCATGTCAGCCATGCTGGAGCACTCAATCTGAAAATACCAAAATGGCAAAGATAAGTCTGATTGCATTTAGATAGTTTAGCATTAGCTTCTTCAGGCTTACAACTTTGTTCAACATTAACTTACAAAGTCATGCCGCAACATCTCAATAATGAAGAGCATAGTAAATAGCATTTGAATATCTAGTGTGTGGTGACCAAGACAGCTACCATGTTACAATCAAGAATATACATGATATAGAAGTGATACTATGGCCCAAGAACAAGAGATGGACTCCATACCGCGTAAACATGTTTGGCGCCAACTTTTGCACAAAAGAGTGACAAGATTCCCGTCCCAGCACCC